GCGGACGAGGGAGCGCTGTCATATCGGATGGCCAGCGCCCAGCGGTGAGGGGGAGAGAAGCCGCCCCCAGGACGAGCTGTGTCGGCCGCACAGCGCCCTTGTTGCCATGGCGCCCTGTGCGGCCGCACTGCTCGCACACCCCTAAGGCCGGCCCTGCTTGTCCTAGGTCAGTTTGACCGTTTTTTACTGTATATTTAAATGTTTTTTTGAAGATTCTAAAATCAATAAGTATATGCATTGTGTTAAGATCAGATGTGTACTTTACCCGCAAGACCCAAGTGTTGATGGGGAAAAATGAACCCTGAAGACTACAGGGTTAAACACTGCTGACCAGTATGGGTTACAAGTCTCCTCTAATTGAGGCTCTGCTTTATAAAAAAAAAAATTGTTTCCTCTGTTCTACATACTTGAAATATAAAACTGTGGCCAAGGCAATTCTGATGGTGACGGAAGATGAATGTAGGTACTGCTGAGTTGTAGGAATCAGAGCAAAACCTAAACTTCCAGATGCTTATTTTTGTTGGTGTTCTACTTTCTCCTAGGATAGCTGTGTTTTCAGTTAACGTGTTACATGATGAAAGGATTGTGCTGGTGGCAGAACAGCGTCCAGACTCCTCAGAAGAAGACAGCTTCCAGTGGATGAGCAGAGTCTTGCAGGTAAGCCAACTATGTTTTACCAGCGTCTTCAGCATTTCCATTAAATCTCATGGGGACACAGGCCATGAGATCACTGCGCTTGGGTTCCTAACCCCACCCACCTCCTATAACTTCCATAAGAATTCCTCAACCTCTTCAATAATTTTACATTTACAGGGAATGCTGAAGGAGATTTAAGATGCCCCTGGGCATGCTTGATCATAAATGCTACAGGAAAGGAATAATTGTAGTTGAGCCTGGAGTATCCAAATTTTCATTCCCAAACGTGGCTTTTTTATTTAGAGCACTACACTCAGTTCATTGTAGAATGTGTGTACTGCAAGACCAGATATTTATACATCAGTAGGTGAGCTTAAAGGAGAACTATGGGGTTAGGGATTTTCCCCATAGTTCTCCTAAGAGTCACGGGAGAACACAAACTAGTGTTCTCCCGTGACCCAAAGCTCAGTATACCGCGAGCTACATTGCTATCGAGATCCAGGATTGACAGCTGGCTCTGCCTATCCAAAGGCAGAGCCAGCTGTGCCCGCATCCTTTCCGCCAGTCAGCGCTGGAGGATCGGACGGGGGGAATCCCTGCAGGGAGCCGTGAGTGACAGTCACGGCTCTCTGCAGGGATAGATCGAGAAGTCAGCGAGCAACGGCATGTATTCGCTCACTTCCCGATCTACTGAGTCGAACTGTGACAGTTCAGTTTCATTGTCAGAGGCTGAGTGAAAATCGCTTGCCTCATAATTCTCCTTTAATTCCATATATGTGTTACAGTTATTAGCATATTTTTGAGAGTATTTGTATATTTGGATAAGATTTCAAGATTTGCCTCATAATTAAAAGTAACACCGACTTAAGATATTCAAACTGAGCATATGTAAAAAATGCTTAAGCATACATTGCCTTTAGTGAAAATGTATGCCAGATTGATCCAGAGATAAATACATGGAAATGATAATATTTCCTACATGAGTTGAGCTTTATCCACCCTTCTGCCAGCTCACTGGGCATTGTGGCCACCCATCATATTAAATCCTATAGGGGAGGTAGGGTGGGTGAGACCAAGATCAGCCTATTCAGCAAATTTGAGATTTGCATATAATTTAGTTTGGATCTGCTGATTGCTTCAAAGTGTAGTTGTCACTGAAATAACCTCTAGTTAGACATATTTTTTGATCAGTTTGTTTTAGGCTGATGGTCAGATAAAATGAGTTTGCCTTTATGCATCCCTGATTACTTCTTTTTGCAGGCAATAGACAGCATCCATCAAGTGGGAGTGTACTGCCTGGCACTGGTACCTGCAAACACTCTTCCCAAAGCACCTCTGGGTGGGATTCACATTTCAGAAACTAAGCAACACTTCTTGGAGGGTTCTCTCCACCCCTGTAATGTTCTCATGTGTCCACACACCTGCGTCACCAATCTGCCCAAACCGCGACAGAAGCAGCCAGGTACGCGACAATTTGCCTTATCGCCTGTATCTTTATGCATTCATTGTTTTCTGCATTTAATGTTTGCTTTTGAATCTATAAATGAGTGAATGCAAAGGTTCAGGTTCTTGTCAAGAACTCAAAAAAATGTATAAAACTGGTGATATATGAAAGCAAAGAATCTGTTTTCCACAGAGTGATTAAATCATGAGCAGAACATCCTTTTTATGCAAATGTTCCTATATAATAGTATAGTAAGTAGGGATGCACCGATATATCGGCCGCCGAAACATATCGGCCGAAAATGGCACTTTTGGCATAATGCCGAAAGAGCCATGGTTAGGCCGATACATCGGCGCATCCCTGGTTTCTTTCCTCCCCGCTGGGCGCCGATCTGTGTTCCAGCGGGGAGAAAAGAAAGTGACAGGCGGCCCAGCGCTGCAGGACAAGAGCGCTGTGAGCGGCCAGCGTCTCTCCTCCCACACCACTCAGCCGCCTATCACAGTCCTGCAGAGTGGTGTGGGGGCGGAGACAGCGCTGTCACAGAAGGCTGAGCTTTCCTCTCTACACCGCTCGATTAGCCTCCTGTGACAGCGTGTCAGAGAGAAAAGCAAGGTACACACACTCCGTGATCGCTGAGTGTGTGTACATAATTGAGGATATGGTATGTTAACTATATCCTCAATTATGAATGAATGGGAGTGATCTACATCACCCCCATTCATTCATAATTGTAGTTATAGTAAACAAACAATGTTCTCATGTTATCAATAAACAGGAACACTCAGAGGATTCCTGTTCATTGATAACAGGGGAAACAGAAAAAGAGATAGAGGATTTTGTGTTCTCAATCTCTTTTTCTATTTTAAAAGGGAAATATCAGGGGTCTGTTTAGACCCCCAATATTTCCCCGTAGACCCTAAAAGTAAAGTAAAAAATAAAAATATTTAATAAAAATGAATTAATAAATAAAAAAAATAAAAAGTTTATAAAAAATAAAATATTTTAAACATTTTTAAAAATAAAAAACATTTTCTGTATCGGTTTCAGCCTGACATTTTTTTTTATTTCGGTTTTAAAATTTCCATTTTGGTGCACCTTTAATAGTAACCATTCTATAAATTAATATTCTGTGCAGTTTTGGATTTATGTTGTGGATGTGACACATATTACAAAGAATACGTATGATAATAGTTTGTGTGTTTTTTTGTTTTTGTTTTGTTTTCTTCTAAGATGTGGGTCCAGCTTCTATGATTGTGGGAAACCTGGTGGCTGGAAAACGAATTGCACAGGCTTGTGGGAGAGATGTCACCCAGCTTGAAGACAATGATCAGGCAAGGAAGGTAACCATGTAACCACATTGTAAAATGTTTTGTGGCTTCTATAAGTCATGCTTCTCATGATAATGGTCTTTCACTTTGCAGTTCCTGTACTTGGCTGATGTCTTACAATGGAGGGCACAGACCACCCCTGATCATGTTCTGCTTCTCCTGCTGAATTCCAAGGTGACTTATCACTTTTTTATGGTCTTCTGAAGCACTGCTTAGTATTTATCTAACCCTAAGGGCTGTACATTCAGTTAGATGAAGGTCTCTCTCAATGAGCTTCTTGAGAAAGAGTAGGTGAGAACCTAAAAAGAGCTAAGGGAAATGGCTTACACGGATGCAAATTGAATAGATTGTTTAGGCAGACCCTAACTTGACATAGTTTTGGTAAAAGTAAAGTATAGAGTTGTATGTGCATTTTAATATATGTGTTATCACAGACACTCTGCTTCTCCTCCGCAGGGTGCTGTGGCCAGTTCCGCAACTTGCTTGCAGCTGCACAAGCGAGCAGAGCGCGTAGCTGCTGGATTGGTGGAAAAAGCTCGTCTCAGTGTTGGAGATCATGTAGCTCTTGTGTATCCACCTGGTAAGTGTTATTAAAGCAGCCATTGGTTGCTGTTCCCTCTCTGAGCTGTTTGGATGTGTGCCACTCTAACTACTGTAGTGTTGACACAGTATTGATCACAAAATTAATGGAACCTGGAAGAAAGCCTAAATGTAAAACTAGCAACTTAAGCAGAGAGCTTCTGTAGCTGTAAGGACATATCTTTTCTTTTAATAGGAGTCAGTGCAGCTAAGCCGTCCCAAGGCACCTTTATAAATACTAACTCTCTCAGAGTTAGGGCCTGTGTCAACAGGCATTTGTTTGCATCAGAACTTCTTTCCCATACAGGTAAATACAGATGTAAATCCCGCTCAGAAGGAGGGCAACTGCAGGTCAAATTTATCTGTCCGTAAACTAAATGATCTCAGAAGTGTCTCAAACTGATGTCAGATTTAAGAAGAATGCACCTAAAAGCAAGCTGCGTTCTCAACCTGACATAATTATGTGTTCATTTAATAAGAACCATGTCAAGTAAAAACAAGCGCTTTTCGGGGCCACGCAGGGTCCCTTCATCAGGCTTAACGTGAAGCCTGATGAGGAGACCCTGCGTGTCCCCGAAAGTGCTTGTTTTTACTTGACATGGTTCTTATAAAATGAACACATGGTTATCCTGAAAGGATTTTTGGTGTGCTAATGACATTTCTTCAAATTGATACCTGTAACCAGCGGTGCCATCCGCAGTCACTACAAGCACCCTCCCCTGTCTTTGGGGCATCTGGTAAGGAGTGCAACAAGTTTTTTTTCTATACTCCCCCTGACATAAGCCCTTATTTGCATTGGCATGCCGCTCTCCCTGGATTTCATGTGGCAAGGCATGGGCCTGCTGATATGCCCGCCTGGTATTGTATTGTGAAATTTGTGGAGTGGGGATGCATTTTCTTCATTGGCTTTTTGGGAGTGCTTCACGTCATGCTTCAGTGAGAAATGTTAAGTCTGAGCAGACGGCTTACACTGTCAGCTCTCTGCAAAAACTGTCAGGTTTACATGTTTCAATAGGTTCCCATTTAAGGAATAGGGTCCTGTCAACTATAGGTCCATGGACACAGCCACACCCGGACACACGGTTCTGTTCCTGAAATTAAGATTGCATTGATGTTATGTTGTGTGATCTGTTTACATTCAGGATTTCCTTAGAACTTTTCCTTAAGGGTTGGTGGGTAAAGTGTTTGGACTTGTATTTATTTCTATATATTTCCTTTAGGCATTGACCTTATTGCCACTTTTTTTGGCTGCCTTTATGCTGGATGTATTCCTATTACTGTGCGCCCTCCACACCCACAAAACCTTACAACCACTCTGCCCACCGTTAAGATGATTGTAGAGGTGAGTACAACCTAAGTTGTTCAGCTGGATGTAAAAGGGACCTGTTTAAATTTTGGGGAAAAAAACAAAAAACGTATCAATCATTTGGTTCAGCTGTAAAATATATGAAATATACATGGCTGCCAAAACTTGGCTATTTGCAGAGCTACCTCTTCACATAAAAACGGTTGTGCGTACTCGCGGCTGAAAGTCTGACCCCTGGTTTCCATTTCGGGACATTCTCTCTACTTCAGGTGATGGTTGGACAGTATACTTTAACTACCTGTGTATACACAACGGCCGGCCGGAAGCTTCTTAGATGTAACTGGGCGTGTATACACGTCCTGTTACTTCCACCCACTCGGGTGCACGCGAGTGGGAAATGCCCATTATGTGAAAACAGGCAGCGATGCCCGTTAATATACAAGCGATCCGCTGACTATAGAGCCGGCGGATTGCTTGTATGAGGTCCCGTGATGTGCGCCCCCCCCCCTCCGCGGCTCCACCAGCATACTGCCGGGACCAGCATACTGCCTCTGTCACAGGGGATCAGAGGGACGTCGGTTCACGCCCTCCCTCCGGTCCCCTCTCCGCTGTCAGAATGCGGAAGTGTTGTATATTACATCACTTCTGCATTCTTGTGTCACTCTCCAGCTTCAGATGCTGGAGAGAAGCTGATGAGGCAGATCTATGCATCATCAGCTTCTTCAGGGGGGTCCTAGGTGACAGGGGTCTTGGAGACCACCGATGTCTCCATAACGAGGACTTGTCACCTCTTTTGCTATCACATAGAGGGGTTTCTTAGCCCCCTCTGTGATAGCAATAAAGTTAAGTGAAAAAAAATAGTACAAAAATGTAAAGTTTCCCTACGTTTTTTGTAAGTTACACATAAAAAAGAATTTTAAAAAATCAATTTTTTTTTAAAGTCCCCACCCCTACATACACGCATGTAAACATGCGTCAGGTGCGCATATCTGCGAAAAACGACGATTGCGCCCATTATGCCACACATGTTACATATCGCCGCGAACGTCGCAGTGAGAGAAATAATTCTAGGGCCATCAATCACTGATAACACTAAACTGATGAGCTGTAAAAGCTTTTAAAGCGTCGCCTATAGCCAATTTTGGGGGTGTTCGTTTTTTGCGATTTCGCGAGTGCGCGCAATTTTTAAGCTTGACATGTTTTGTGTCTATTTACCCGACTTGACACCGTCTTTTATATTTTACCAAATAAGTGGGTAATATTAGTTGTTTTATAACATAATGTTAAAAAAAATTCTCTTGAATATAGTAAAAAAACCCCAGTGGTGAATAAATACCACCAAAATAAAGCTCTATCTGTCCCCAAAAAATGGTATAAAATTCATTTCAGTACAACGTTGCATGACGGAATAAATGTCAGTCAAAGTACCGCAGCGCTGAATACTGAAAAATGGCCTTTCCAGGAAGGGGGTCTAAACTGTAGTAGAAAATTATTTTTAGCTGACTAATCAATAGTAATTTCAGTGTGTAGGCTGTATCCACAGCTGTTTAATATGTTTGGTATTCTGACACCAGGAAAGCATTCTTTCATATTTTACTCTTCATTGTGTTAGTCACTTGTAGAACTCTTGACAGGAACAGTAACATCATTGCTTCTATTTTACCACATGAATATAAATGCATATGTTTTATGCTGCAGGGAATTGTCATTAATTTTCAGCTGTATGGAAACAGTGAGATTTAAAATATCTGTAAAATGGAATTCGTTTAATAAAAAGCTCTTCATTCATAAGAGCAGTAACCCATACCAGCCAATCGGAAGTCATCTTGTCATTGCTTGACCTCCTAAAAAGTTTAGTTGTTTGGCTACCATGCCTGATCCTCTGTCTTTAATAATCCTTATTTGCATATTTATATTTATCCATATATTATTATTATTACATAGTATTTATATAGCGCCAACAGTTTGCGCAGCGCTTTACAATATAAGAAAGACATTACAGTTACAATACAATTCAAGACAAGATGGTAAGGAGGGCCCTGCCCCTGAGAGCTTACAATCTAAAAGAGGAGGGGGAAATGATACATGAGGTAGCTGTGGGAATGAATTATGTGAGAATGTGATGGTTGAGTGGTTAGGTTGAGGTGGGATAGGCTTCCCTGAAGAGATGAGTCTTTAGGGAACGCCTAAAGGCAGTCAAGGTGGGAGATAGACGGACAGGTTGCATATAATGTGATAGCCAGGCAAACTGGAATTTTCAGAAGGTCTTGCTGACCTTCCTTTTAGAATATACCAGATATTTGTATGTTTACAGTCACTGACTAGGAAAAAGTATGCCGTTTAGGAGCTCTGATCTGCATCCTTATACAAAATTGAAGCCAATGAATCTGCATAACACCCAGGAAACGAGCATTTTCAAAAGAAAGATCAGCATCGACAGTCCCCTTATTTATCTCAGTAAAGGTTTGGCTTAAGATCATTTTGTTGTCCTAGTGTGGTATAGTTTGATGCATATGTATTTAATATGTATGTAGTACATTTTATGTTTATTAAGCAAGCGTTCTATATTTCTCTGTGCAGGTTAGCAAGTCTGCCTGTATTCTTACTACACAAGCAATAATGCGTTTGCTCAAGTCAAAAGAAGCTGCTGCGGCTGTAGACATCAAGACATGGCCAACCATTCTAGACACTGGTAAAGAACATTTGTCCTCCTCAATGGAATCTAATGTAACTAGTATTTAGTATGTTTAAGTGGTATTTGGACTATGACTTTAGACATCCTAAGCACCTTTGTTTGGTCTAAATGTCCCTACAGCACCAAACCCTTGAAACCTGTGGCACATGTTGTAAGTCAATATTATCTTTGCTGATAGTCATCACTTGAACAGTCCCCCAACTGCGACCAGTTAAAAAAGGTTTCCATTGCAATATGGTTAATGCTAGTCAATTAAATGCTTTTCCTTGGACTGGTTTCCATTATTTTTGGACATCGGGGTAGCCATATTTGCTCATGACGTGCTGTGACTTGCCAGTTTGCTTAGGCTGAATGAAAATAGTACACAGTCTGGTAGCTTATGCTGTTATCTCAGCAGCCACACAGTACAGCTGGCCAAAGAATGCGCAGGCAAGCTCTAATCACACAAGTGTTTCAGTTTTGGCAATGGTGAAGAAAGGAGCACACAGACTCACTTTGTACCTGAGAGCTGTAGTTTGCTCCGATGAGCTGGCCCGTGTGTCTTTGATCATCATCTATTCTGGTTGAAAACAGCTGGATTGTGACACAGTCAGCTAATTACTGCATGAATTAGTGCTTTGCCCATGCCAGCCCCTGCAGCTAATTATACTTACCTTCCCTTAGCTGATCCACAGCTTCATTCACGGAATACTTCTTGGTATGGGAGAGCATGTGACTCACTCCTCTTCCTTCCACGTTACTTTTGCTTGTGCTTAGTGATTGGTTGGGATTTGGAGAGAGTCCTCAATCCTGTGTAACGTCTGACTAAGACCAAGTTGGAGCCTACCAAGAGATTAACTTTCCATGTTGGAAAGAGTTCTGAGGCTTGCCAATTGTCTCCAAAACAACAGGGCTCAGTTCACAAGTTGGAAGAGCGTGTGGAGTAGCTGACAGAATGTTTTGTGCACTGTGTGGATCGTGGCCACCCATGTGTTGCATTGCCCCTGCGGGCCCTCCTGACTGGAACATTGCCTTGACAATTCCCTTTATTTTGCATCCAGCCCCAAGATGCTCCTGCAGTCTAAAACTCACCACACACAGTACAGTGTTTGTACAATCTGCTTCAAATCTACCAACAACTAAGTAGTGCAAGGGCCTGCCATACTGGATACAAAATGCTTGCATAGATTAGGCTGGTCCTCATATTACATAGTTTTGTTAAATGTACAGTGAATTGTACGGCAGATTGTAACCTGTAAGGGTGATAACTCCAGAGTCTGACATACAGATATCCACTTTTACAATTATTATACAACATATTTACTAATTGATAATTCGCTGTATATTCCTTATTTTTTTTTAATAATTTACATTTATGACTTACTTCGGAAACTGCTGTGAGCATCATGTGATGTGTAGTTATCAATCCTTTGACACTTTTTACTGAGTATCTGTCTGTCCAGAGGGGGAATAGAAGTCATCACTAATGCTGGCTGTGGCTTTTCATGTGTTTCTGCAGAAGACATGCCTAAGAAGAAAATAGCACGTGTGTTTCGGCCAACATCACCGGAGACTCTGGCCTATCTAGATTTCAGTGTGTCTACTACCGGAATCCTGGCTGGAGTGAAGGTGGGTCAGTAATATGGACATGTTTTGTTGCTTTACCAGTAAACCCACCTCCATGGTTCCAGCAATGACATAAACCAGCTGTAAGGCTCCCACTCTGTCTTCTCTGCTGACTAATCTCACATTCATATTAATGTGGTGGTCAATCCTCTTACCTTCTTTCATTTGAGGAATTGAGAAAGGGCTGATTTATAGTGTAACTATATCCTAAACCTTTTCTAGTTTTGGATAGGGTAGAGATGAATTAGAGCTCCTGTCAGGTTTTACTGCAGTCTGAGGCTCTGTTGGAGGGATTCCTTCACTTCCTGTCTGGTTAAAAGGAGGTCCCCTGGACAGGAACTTAGAGGAAATCTTTCTAACAGCAACACAGACAGAAGTGAAAATGATTTCTGTAAGTTAAAGTATTAAACTCTCAAACTTTTTTTCAATAATGAGTCCAAATCAAATTAATATACCTTTCCCCACAAAGTATTACTTTACACTTTTGGCCCCAGCTTTCTTAGCTTAACTTTCCTGAACTTCCTGTCCACTACGAGATCACAGGAGACAGAGCAGTCATCCATCTACTAGCTTGGAGGAGTGGGGAAGCAGGGAGCAGAGGATTGGCTTGCCTTGCTGTGCCTGTGTGCTTGTGGAGACACACTCGCAGCTTACTAGAACACACAAAGGTGGCTCCATAGGACCCTGCAGAGGAGTCACCTTTCAGCAGAATATCAGGGCCAGTGCTCAGGGGACCAGCTGATTCTGCAGGAAACTAAACCTTTTGAACCTCAAGGAGCAGCACCCATTGTAAGTTATTTAATCAACATTTTAATTAGCTGAAAAACCTTATGACTTTACTATCACTTTAAGAGTGCTAGAATCCCTGTCAGCTTTTTATTATTGTCTTTCCCTCCCTTCCTGTCTGGTAAAATCTTGCCCCCAGAACAAAAAGGGAGGGAAATCTATTCAATGGAGCTCCAGGAAGTACCACTTTACAGGTTTTTACCTTTTCCTATTTTATCCAAAACATAATGAAAAAAAGTTTTGTGGATAGATGCACTTAAATACCTTTTAGATTGGTGGCATTAGTGGAACTTTACATTGCTGGCATTGTAATGGAGGATGGAATGGTACATTTACATAAAGTGATACTAAAGTCAAATGGTTTTTAAGTTGATCTCTGTCTAGTGATGGGCTGAGCACACCTGAGTTCGGTTCTAACTAGAACATGGAAAAAGTTCTAACTTGAACTTGGAACTCAATTAAAGTCTATGGGACCAGAACTTGTAAAATCAAATGTCCCCATTTTGAGGGCTTATATGCAATTTATTGGTCATAAAAAAGGTATATGGATCCGGGTACTGCCCCGGGGGACAGGAATAAATAACAAAAAAACCACTTTTAAAAAATACCGTTTTTAATGGAGCAGTGATTTTAACATTGCTTGAAGTGCAGCAATAAAAATGAAAAATTCCTTTAAATATCGTGCCTGGGGGGGTCTCTTAACCTGCCTGTGAAGTGACGGATATATAGCACCTGCTGCAGCAAAAAGTGACGTTTATAAAGAAAAAAACGGCATTTAAATTGCTGGTGATTGGTTTCCCCTTAATCCTGTAAACAACTGCTTGGGGAGGCAGCCTGTATGAAGAGGCCACATGTTAGGACACTCAAAACAAGGTTAGAGATTTTTTGGATACATTCTGGTGTCTCTTTTGCAGACGTTGAATGAAAGTTACAACAGGTGCTTTTAAAACTGGGCCTTGGCTGTTGCTTTCACACCGTAACCCTTCAGTTATTCTTGACGAGTGCAGGATTGGACCCTGCTCTAAAAATTCAACAGGGGCCTTTGGTGTTGGTGCCTCCACACTTGTAACCCCTCACAGTAAAGGTGCCCATACACTTTACAACCCTCGCAAGACTTTTGTCTTCTGAGGGTTGTAAAGTACTTAAAAAAACGTACAATCTGCCCATCTTGGACAGGCAGATCGTACTTGCGATCATCAGGGCGTGCTTCCGATGACTGCAATGCTGAACAGGCAGTGTGCGCGTGTGCACAAAGGCCCGTTCGGCAGTGATCTCTCGATCATGTTAAAAACCAGCCGAAAATCGTACGATTCTCGGCTGGTTTTCCAACATGCTCGAAATACAAAAGTTGTGCGACCGTACAGTAGAAACGGTCGCACGCCTTCCATACACTGCACGATTCTCATACGATCGCGGGATTTCCCGCAATTCTCGTACGAGAATAGTGCAGTGTATGGGCACCTTTACTCTTGATGAGCGCAGTAATAGGCGCTGCCGTAAAACATCAAAATGACATGCACCTGTCACACACTTGTCTCCTTGTTGGCCTTTCAGACATGATGTGGGGCTTATTATAAAATTCTATTAGAGAATGTGGGATGGGAAATTGGTGCTTGGGTGCAATACTTTATCACATGTAGTGCTTGGTGCACTATAAACTGTTGTACAATGGCTTAATATGAAAAAGAAAATTAAAACAGGAACACCTGCGACGCAGAAGGGGGAACAGCAATGAGGCAGCAAAAGAACCTGCAGCTGAAAAAAGAAGTAGAAATCAAAGAAAAAAAAACCCAAAAAAACAAGAGCACCAGTGACGCCACTGACACAAAAAAAAAATAAGCCAACGAATATTCAGCACAGACAATACTATATACAGTACAGAGTACTGTATATAGCACTGACACCAGTTATCTTTCCCTACACTACACTGTACTACACTACATTGTACGTATCTATCTTTAACTCCAGCAACACCAGCAAGCAGCCTTATATAGTGTGGGGCTGGGACTTGGCTATGAGCCATGATTGGGCAAAGTCATCATCACTGTGCCCAATCATGGCTCTTACAGTGCACTGTGCTGTGATTGGGCAAATTCTTGCACCTGACCTGTGGGTCAGATGCATTGCTTTACCCAATCAGGGCTCTCACAAGGCACTGTGTGGTGCGCAGTGCCTTGTGGGGCTCTTGGCGGACGAACAGCCCACCGAACACCCTGATGGTTCGTGTGTTTGCCGAACACACAAACTACCAATGTTCGAGTCGAACTGTTCGACTCCAACGTTGAGCACATCCCTATCTCTGTGCTGGAGCTGTTGAGGTCGATGCGTGTTTAACCTCCTCTCCATTAAAGCCCAACTTCAGCCAAAACCTATTTCCTTATGGATAGAACAGGGATGCATTGGAGCCTCTATCATGACTATTTTTGTCCCTAATGGGCATATTGTCTGCCAGGACAGGAAGGGATGGAAAATCTCTCCAACAAGGACACAAACAAAAACATAAGTAGAGTGAGGAGGGATACAGCTTCTGATAGTGTTTTTAATTGCTGTGCATACCATCTTGTCCCAGTCATTCATTGGCTTGACTTTGGCTTTTATGCATTTAAATCTGAGCCTCAGTCATGTGTACCTTTTTTCTTCTCCTGTACTTATTTTCTAAAAAATAATGTTTCAAGTTAAATAATGAAGCTTTTATTTTGTCCTCTCTTTAGATGTCTCATTCAGCCTGCAGTGCCTTATGTCGGTCCATTAAGCTGCAATGTGAGTTGTATCCATCTCGCCAAATTGCCATCTGCCTAGATCCATACTGTGGCTTGGGATTTGCCCTTTGGTGTTTGTGCAGGTAAATGTTTTTGTTTCTGCGTGCTCATCCCCTTAACAAAAAGTGTACCTCTTGCATATAGTAGAGGGGGACTTTATAAGGCTGAACCTACACTAATGATAAGTAAACTATCCATAAGTCTCTTTCCATCAAGACAGCTTACTTTATTGGTGTAGCAAAATCTATCTGTCACACATACACTGATTGGCTTCTGTGTGATCACTCCTCCTTCATAGTATGTTGTAGTACAAAAGAAAAAAAGTTAGTGTATCTAAACCCAAAAACAAAAATGTATTTCTTGCAGCTTACCAGTCTATAAATGTGATGGCTGCATTAGTTTCTGGTTTTCAAATTAGATCATGTTCAGCAGGTACAAAATACATGTTGATCTTTCCAAAAATGCTGTGTCTTTGTCACTTCCTGTGAGATGAAAACGAAGAAGAACCTTGTCTTGTGCAAACTACTAGTAACTTCGATCCACCATGTAATGGAGATGAACAAAGGAAGTCCAGCAAGTGTCATGGCTCCCTCCATAGATGCAGTGGAAGAGTGGCTGTAGCTATTAAGGGACAGGACGTTTGTGTTATTTGCAGGATCACCAGGGGAAAGTAAAGTGGAAAAAGTCTAAAAAAAACAAACTAATGCAGCTACCACATGTAAGGACTGGTAAGCTGCAATATATCACATTTTTAGTTTTGAATGGAGTAGGGAGGGGTTAAAAACCAAGCCAGGTGTTTATTGCTGTCAGTGACCTCGCTGGGGAGATTTAACCGGTCTATTAGCCCAGGTGACTATTATCCCAGAGACAAGAGGTGAGGGGAAATCTTCCAGTGGAAATGCCTGTTTCATTGACAGCTGTCTACAAGGGGATTTCCTTACTTCCTGTTGTATCTTCAGGGGAAGTAAAGTGAAATCTCCCCAACAGGACACAAATACTAAAAATAAAAATACAAGCATTTTAACCACTTCCTATTCTATTCAATGGAAAAATTTAAAGTTTTGGCTTTGGGCATACTTTAACCACTTCAGGCGGGTTCAGGTAAATACACGCCATCCAATTGAGGTGGTTATACCAAGAACATGGCTAATGCTGCAGCCGTGTTCTTGGTATCGTTTTAAACAGCAGGCGATTGCTGTTTATGTGTAAGCGGCGCTGAGGGCGCATCTGCCTGATCCAGCCAGCCAGCCCGGATCGCATAGCGGCGATCCGGGCTGGCTGGATCAGGAAAAAAAGGGGGTGTACAGGGACAATGATGGCATGCTTGGACTTGTAGTTCCTTAGCTGATAAATATGTGTGGGGGTGGGGGGTACAGTTCTAGTGGATGTTTATATAATATGGGGGGGCGAAAAAAATGTTCTGCCCCGGGCGCCCATAACTCTGGTTACGCCACTGCTGCCAGATCCTATTTGCTATCGCATAGGGGTTTGTTAGCTCCCTATATCATAGCAATAAAGTTAAGTGTAAAAAAATTAAAAATGCAAACAAAAATGTATTTTTTTTAAATTCCCCTGCCCCCCACATGCATGCACATACAACACACACGCGCATCAGATGCGCCTAGGTGCAAAAACAAAAATTGCGCCACAGATTGCATATCGATGCGAATGTCAGAGTGTGAGCAATAATTCCAGGGCCATCAATCACTGATAACACTAAACTAATGAGCAGTAAAAGCTTTTAAAGCGTTGCCTATGGGAAACTTTGGGTGTTGTCGTATTTTTGCGGTTTCCCGGGCGCACACAATTTTAAGGCTTGACATGTTTGGAATCTATTTACCCGACGTGACCCCGACTTCTATGTTTTACTAAAAAATTGAGTATTCTGTTTCTGTGCACTAAATGTCATTTTAGTGTATTGTATCCATAAAATATTGGTTTGATAAACATTTGCGCAAATACTGTGCGACATAAAAAATTGCAACTAGCATTTTTTTATTCTACAGGGCCTCGGCTTTCTGAAAATATATAATTGATGGGGGCTTTGAAGCTGTTTTCTAGTCAAAATTCAGATTTTATCACGTGTGTGCAAATGTAAGAAATTGCTCCAGGCAGCACGTGGTTAGTGGAACGCATACGTACATGCACATGGGTTTTACAGGTGTCCGATCACAGCCTGCATGTAGACTGCTATCCCACTAAAAGGAAAAGATGCAAAAAACGAATGTGTTGCGTTTAGTGATCACAATCACTCCTCACATTACAGAAGTAACCTTTTCTGCTATACCAAGGTTGTTCTTTAGCAGTTTCTTTGTCTTTTTTGCAGCATTTATTCTGGACACCAGTCCATCCTCGTGCCCCCTCTAGAGCTGGAGAGCAATGCATCCCTGTGGCTTAGTGCAGTTAGTCAGTACAAAGTACGTGTCACCTTCTGCTCGTATTCTGTCATGGAGATGTGTACCAGAGGCCTGGGAACACAGACTGGCACCTTGAAGGTACATATCTCTGTAATTATTGAAGTATGCTACGTGATGAGTATTTGCCCACTTCTGTCACCTTGATTCCCTTCCTCCTCCTGTGCTTCCCTTAGTTTTCCCCATGTTATGTATTATTTTTCTTTTTTTTTGTTGTGTACTCCATTATTTTGCTAATCCTTAAATTTCCTTCCTGATCCACTCCTTCCCTCTCCCAGTCACGGGGTGTGAATCTGTCCTGCGTGCGTACATGCATGGTGGTAGCAGAGGAACGACCGCGTATCGCACTTGCACAGTCATTTTCGAAGTTGTTCAAGGACTTGGGACTGTCCACCAGAGCTGTGAGCACCACGTTTGGCTGTCGGGTCAATGTGGCCATCTGTTTACAGGTAGGGGTGCTGTGATGGAAATTGATGTGCTATGTGTGAAGCTGATCCTTTTAGTTCATGTATGTGCATTAAGAGGTGGTCATATTCACTTCTGAGCTCAGACGAGTTCTTCAACCTCTGTTTAATCCCGCTCTCGCTATCATACCATTCCATCTCTCACTTTTCTTTGTGGTTCCTCTTTCAGCCCAACAGACTGGGCAAGCTTGCTGACCAGGTATGGTGTCTGCATGTATGTAAGCTGACATGCTAAGTGCAGCCTGCTTTGCTCTGGGCTCCGCTGGGCAGTGCAACAGAAGTGTGTGTCTGCACAGGAACTGCAGAGGGATGTTAAGCCATTAAAGGCCAACTGCAGCCAAAACTGATATTATTATAGATGGTTGCTGGTATTTACAAATGTATTTTGCTTTTAAGCACGTTTGAATTTTTAGTTTAAATGAGCTAAATACATGTCAGATCAAAACAAAAGGTGAGCAAAGTCTTACAGTTTGCTTGCTTTGGAAAGCAGCCATATCCTGAGTAGAAAAGCCTGTCCCCTGCCAGCATGTTATAGGCAAGGACCATTACACTCTGTGGGGAAGTATTGGTCTCACTGCAGAGGTCAAACATATGCCGCCTGCTGATTTAGAGCCAATGCTCTCCCATCAGAAGGGAGACTGAGCTTTGCTGAAGTCTGACTCAGCATGTTGGATCTCTGCGGGGAGACTACTGCTTCCTCACAGTGCAAGAAACCCATTCTGCAGGCTGTAGAAGAAAACAAACTGTAAGACATTGAACGTCTTTTGTTGTGATGCACCTGGAATGTATTCAGCTGATGCTAAGAGACATATAAAAAGCCAGCATGTGATGCAGTCTGCCAGTAACCCTACAAAAGTGACATATTAGTTTGTGGTAGAGTTGGCCTGGACTTAAGATGGTCATTTTACCACAGGCTACAGTAGTGATTGACATGTCTACACAGGATACATTGGGAGGGTTTAGAAAAGCTTCATGTTTGTCCGGATTACACACCATGTGCTTTTTAGACCGTGTTGTATAGCTTCTCACCTGCATGGCAGCTCCAGCACCTAATCCTTTCTTAGCTACTATTGTGTGCAGAGAAGAATAAACTGTTCTGTTTTTACAGGGCACTGCTGGTCCTGACCCTACCACTGTCTACGTAGACATGCGGGCCCTACGTCATGACAGGTAAAACTTCTTCCAATCTGATTGTTGTATATGAGCAACTTTTATTCTTTATGTCTAATGATCTATTCTGTTTTCTGTTAAGAGTTCGCCTGGTGGAGAGAGGTTCCCCACACAGTCTACCGCTCATGGAATCAGGAAAGGTGAGAAGTTTTCCACCAAGTGCTGGATGTCCATCCTTGAGGTTATGGCCTACAATTGAAGGCTGGAAAATCCAAGGACAGACTGTACTAAAGTAGCTTGGAGTGCTCTTTGTTTATAGATAAATACTGTCCAGTCACAGCTTCTACGAAATTTGTCCCCTCAAAGCCCTCATTCACACAGGAATCGGCCGGCACGTACAGCTCTGTGCTGCGTGCACGGCCGTATCATGCAGCCCCCGGGAAGGACAGGTGCTGCGTGTGATTAGTACGCAAACCCTGTACTTCTCTATGGGAGTACGCGGCCGTACGCCCCCATGCGCTCACCTCAAGTGTAATGCGGGTGTAGACCATCCTGTCGGCGTACGAGTACGCTCACCCGCACGGACGTGCAGGGCGGGTGAGCGTAGGGCGGCGTACAGTTGCGTATAGAAGGACAGGGGCTACGTACTAATCACACGCAGCACCTGTCCTTCCCGGGGGCTGCCTGATACGGCCATGCACGCAGCACGGATCTGTACATGCCGGCCTTTTCTAGTGTGAATGAGGCTTATGGTCAAAACTAGCTTGGTGTCATTTTAAAATGGTGTGTTTGGACAGTACTAAGTTGTATGACTGTTTTGCATTGGCAGAACAAAGGCATCACAAATGTATGAAATTATATTGCAGGCTTGTGTCCAGGATACAGAGCTTGAAAAAGCATCTCCCAACTGCAAAATAATAATAAGATGCATGAATATGTGCCTGAACCTCTACATCAACCTTTGTAACCCCTCTATCTCCAGATGCTGACACTAGAATTTGTTACACACAGCTTATGAACTTTGTGTCCTCCTCATTGCAGGAGGACCTGGATAGAATAGGGGAGTGGGCATTAATGTGGCAGATCAGGTTTAATGTCGATAAATGCAAAGATATGCACTTTGGGATTAAAAATAGGCAAATGGGTTATACAATTATGGGTATGCAGCTAGGGAAGTCAGAAATGGAGAAAGATTTGGGGGTCACTGTAGACCACAAACTGAATAATAGATTACAGTGCCAGGTTGCTGTAAGCAAAGCTAGTAGAATCCTGTCCTGCATCAAGAAGGGAATGTATTGCAGGGACAGGTCTATAATTTTGCCACTTTACACATCAATGGTTCGGCCTCACCTGGAGTATGCGGTCCAGTTTTGGGCACCGGTACACAGAAGGGATGTCCTTGAGCTGGAGAGAGTCCAGTGGAGGGCAGCCAAATTAATCAAGGGGATGGAGGACCAGAACTATGAGACAAGGCTACAAAATGTAAATATGTTCACGCTGGAAGTGAGGAGATTAAGGGGGGGGCATGATTTTCATGTACAAGATGTTCAATGGTCATAGCAACATACTCTTTAAGATTAATTCCGTAACAAAGACTAGAGGCCACCACCTAAAACAGGTAGAAAAAAAATTCCAACACAAGGGGCGAAGTGGGTTCTTCTCAGTTTGAGTGGTTAGGGTCTGGAACTCTCTGCCACAAGCAGTGATTACAGCAAATAGTGTGGAATCATTCAAGAAGCTTTTGGACGATTTCCTAAGAGAGCGTAAAGTACAGGGGTACAGGTACTCTTAAGAATGAGATGACTCGGGGACCTATACACACACACACAATAGGTTGGACTTATGTCTTTATTCAACCTCAAATACTATGTAACTATATGTGTATGTTACATTGTAAATGGGATCTGTTTTCTGGTTGGTTAATTTGAGGGGAGGAGAACGTAATCCATGATAAACTCAGATCCCTGCATGCTTTTACACAAGACTTAAATGTATACCATTTGTCAATGTAGCCTTTACAACACCTAATGCACGTTCTATTTTTCCCCAAGCCTGAGAATTGTATTTACCACACGGGTGCTTTGTAATCATATCCAATCCGACTTAGTCCCTTTATGCTTATTTACAGATTCTTCCTGGTGTGAAAGTCATTATTGCACATACAGAGACCAAAGGACCACTTGGAGACTCTCATTTAGGGGAGGTATGTAAATATGACTATTCAAGTATAGCAATGAATGTAGCTATGTAGCAATGAAAAGCTAAAACATTTTTTATTTGGTTTTGGGTAGAGTGAGAAAGTGTGAAAAATCCTTTTTTGTGTCTCTGCTGTTGAGATCCATCCTCTCAGGTTTTCATAGTGACCATTATCTACTGTGCAGAATTGAATGGAGAACCCAAAATGTTAGCAGTGTCATATGAACAGGAAACTTAACCATTCCTCAACCATGCGATGAAATAAAAGCTGTAAATAGTTTTTTGTTTTTCTTTCAAAAATATTCAGAAAGTTCATTTTTGTGTCCACCAGGTTTGGGTGAGCAGCCCACATAATGCCAATGGTTATTACACTGTGTACGGTGAGGAGGCTTTGCATGCTGATCACTTTAATGCACGGCTCAGCTTCGGGGACACTCAGACTGTTTGGGCACGGACAGGATATCTTGGATTTCTCCGAAGAACAGAGCTGACTGATGCCAGTGGAGGTAATTAAGTTAAAGAGGCTCCCTACCACCAATATTTGGCATGGTTCTTCCTCTGTCCGTCAGATGTTTTATTCCTGAGTTGACACGCACACACACACTTTTTTTTAAAAAAAAGCTGAACAGACAACTAGGTACATTTATAACAGAAATACCCTACAAGCAAGCTGTTTTCCTGGCACGTTTGGCTGCTTTTGTGAGCCCAGCACCCTTTTGGACATCACAACTATGTTCTCAACATACACTGCAGCAACGCACTACTGATTGGACAATAAAAGGGCAGACGTACTGCACACCAACGTCATCACTTGGCCTACTCTGCTCTTTTTCCTGCCAACACATGTACTGCAACACAGCCTGACTGGCTCCTACTAGCCCACAACCAGTTGCCATTCTGCCTCCTCTCTATATCAGGCTGGAGTTCATCTGTAAGAAGATAACAGAGGAACATTTCCCCAAAACAGTCAATTAGTTTCAGCCATTTAGAACAGTGGAGGATTTCTTGAATGAATAGCCTTTTGGTAAAAGTATATTATTGACCTATAATTGGTGATAGTGTTACTAGACTGTATCCTCCGTTCTACACAAAGTGTACAAAAATACAAATGGTCTTTATAAATTGCCTTCAAAAGAGAAAATCGTTCCCATTAACACTGTTCCTTTCCTAGAGAGGCACGATGCTTTGTACGTGGTTGGTTCTCTCGATGAGACATTGGAATTACGGGGTATGAGATACCATCCCATTGACATAGAAACATCTGTGATTCGATCTCACAAAAACATTGCAGAATGGTGAGTTTGTTTTTCATTTTATAGGTAGGTTGTTTAACCAAAAAAGTGAGATTATGTCCGGGATTATTGCACTGTTCATTGACATTTGCAAAAACACTCTCCTTAACATGGCTACTGTTGTATGCTGTATATGCTTAGTGATCTGTAGAACTACAAATCCTAACCAGGTATTTTACCTGGTATTACATGCATCCTAAATGTGGCAAGACACTTGTAAAAGAAATCTTCAAAAGCAACCAAGAATTGTGCATGTATTGCACCTTTTGCATCACCGGTTTCCAGTCTTGAGCAGCATCCTCCCATGTACGGTTACAGGGCACAATGGAAACCCTTGCAACACAGCATGGAACTTTTCTCACTGGCCTGGATACAGGCAGAATTTACTGTGTGCGTTCCTTGCAGCCCTTGGGCTACACATGTGACCAGCAGCAGTGGCGTCCCGAGGCTAAGTGACACCCAGAGCGGTGTCCGAGTGTCACCCCGCCGAGACGTCATCGCGCACGCGCGGCCCTATTCCGATACCTGCCGGCGGCCATCTTGGTGATGGACGCCGGCAGAGAGAGGAGGGGACAGTCACCCGGCGGGATAAGGTATGCCGCCGGGTCCCCTCCTCTCTCCTGATACTGTCGGGCGTTCGGTCCATGACCGAGCGCCCGACTTTTCAAGAGGGGGGGGGACACCAAAATGACTAAGTCATTTTGGTGTCACCCGGGTGCGGGCTGCTCCCCCCTTGTGACGCCACTGACCAGCAGCTAAAAGGCTAAATAACATGGGCATTTTTGGCTTATGTTTGCAGTTGTCATTTTAAAGCAGGTTGTTTTTTTAAATCCTAGCTTCTTTATTTCCTCAACAGTAAGTTACAAGTACATAGGTGTGACTCTATTGAGGAAGCGGGGGGGATACTCAACCAGCATGATGTGTACGTTTTCTTGGGTCTAGTCCCCTTACTGTGTTCTTTTCTTGTCTTTTTCAGTGCGGTCTTCACATGGACAAACCTATTGGTGGTTGTATTAGAGCTGGATGGGCCAGAGCAGGAAGCCCTGGACCTGGTGGCCCTTGTGACAAATGTAGTCTTGGAGGAGCACTACTTGATTGTAGGAGTCGTGGTCATAGTGGACCCAGGAGTCATTCCCATCAACTCTCGAGGAGAGAAGCAGCGCATGCACCTTAGGGATGGATTTCTTGCGGATCAGCTTGATCCTATATACGTGGCTTATAACATGTGAAATGGTGATAAGTTGCTTCTTGCCTGATCCTTCACACGCTGGGTGCTGGGTAATGAAAGAGCCGAGGGAGGAGACTAACTGATCGACTATTACTTCCATTATTCGAGGTGCTGGATTGCTGCTGTCTTCCTTCTCAGGCGATGTGTCTTCCCAACACCCAGGAATGTTCCAAGTCACAGAGAGAGGAAGGGGCCTTTTATTGCCAAGAACTGTTCAGAGCAGAATGTACCTAGTGACGTTTTACCTCTTACTGTGACACTGGATGTAGCTTCCTCTCCCCTCCCCTTTAATGCTGTTCTCCTGGCGCAGCATACATTCTGCCCCTCTGTGTTGTGTCGCCTTACAAGAGCCCAATTTCATGCAATAATGTGAATCTCCGGATCTCTTGAATCTGAGCACATATAGTTTTTTTATATATCTATATTCATGGGGGGTGATCATGCCTTCCCCCGTGAGCCAAGATGGACCTGTCCAAAGTTCACCAGCCCTAAGAGAGCTGCTACTTCACTCCTCATCACTGAACTGAATGTAATTATGTACATAAACAGTATAATTTATTAAGTGCATCAGGCTAACAGACATGACCATGGTCAGGAAGATGAGAGGAGAGACCCACTTCAATTTTAACACTGTAGTTTTTATAGCAAAAAATGAAAACAAAAAAAAATAATTAAGCACTAAAGGAGCCTGACAGTTATCTGTGATATTACAAAAGGATAAAAAGCACATTAAACATTTTAAAAAGATGTCTTGTGTTAATTTTTGTTGTCACTGCACGGTGTACAAGTCCACCTAAAAATGGTTTCTTTGGTAAAGCAAAATCCTAACTTTATTGTCATGGTAACAGTCTGTTATATCTCAAGTAGTGGTGACTCCTACACCCAATGCATTCTACGGGAAGTTTAGCAGGGGCTGGAAATGGCGCTAGTGGTTATATTCAGTCAAGCTGGAAATACCACAGGGGAGACGCTGGAGTGTCAGAATCTATGAGAAATAAGAATGTAATCTGCATTTAGGCCAGTAGATATGGCAAAGGGAAGGTTACACTGTTAGTTTCGAGTTAGCTAATTAGCAGCTAGTCAATTACAAATTGTTTGTCACCTTTGCTGCCAGGTAATACATGTTAAATGTAAGTAAAATACGGTGTAGTGTCGCTTGTGTCTTCTGTTTAAACAACTTCAGCAGTTCTCCTCATGGAACACAATTCATCTCCATATTGGAAATACCTTGCAGCCAACCTATTGACAAAAGAAATTTGAAACATTACTAACCCAGTACAGCCTTAAAGTGGGCATGTGTCTAAAGGCAACCAATCAGCTTCTCCATTTTATACATAAGAATATGTGGTTGCTGTGGACAACCCAGCAAATGCTCCCTTCAGACACTTGTATACAACCTTCATTGTTGTATGAAGTACTCACATTGTGTGCCGTTGTCGCTGACTCCCCAGTAACCGACCAGTTGAGTGTGACCGATAAGTGGCGTCTCCAAAAGGGATCCCTGGAAAATTCTGCAGAGCCCTCAATCCGGTCTCCTCTGTGAATCTGTATAGGTTCATCCAGCATAAACAGTGTGTGTTTCCAATGAGTGAGCCTTAAAAATAAACATACCTGAGATAAAGCACTCGGAGGAGGGAAAAAGTGTGGGCTTGCTGTGGTTTGAGGTCTCTGCACCTATCCCATTGTATTTAGATTTACAAACTTCTTCTCTGCTGCCTGGCACTCACCAACACTGAACCCAGAAATGCTCAGTACTAAGCACTTCCATGTTTATTCCCAAATAAAGAGATAGTAGACATGGCAATCATACCGATCCCTTCAGTTATGAATGAACACTGGAGTGCTCCCGTGTTCATTCAGGAAACTGAAGGAATCAGTAAATATGCTTATCATTCTGAAGAGATCCTATCCTCCCCGCTTTGTCTGCCATATCATCCCCTCCACAATCCCCTGTCTCTGCTGGTGAAGGATGGGGATTGGAGGGCACACGGAAACAGTGGATTGTAAAGGATACATGGAGGGGATATGATTGGGCGCACAGAGTGAGGTGAGGATCTAGTGACAGGCAAGGCACACTGCGGGGCCAGCTATAGGGTCTACAAATCAAACATTAGGCTTCACTTCTGATACTGTAATGTTAAAATGTCATGTATATTCGGAATAATCTCTCCTGACAGATCTGGGATGGGAGTGTTTATGAATATAAGTAGATATAAGCTATATTAATGAATTCATATTTATAAGGACTTTGAAAAGGTTAAAAGTATTAGTGAAATAATATCTATACAGACATTCATAGAAACTGGGATCAGGTCTTTTTTTTTATCTTGTTTGTATTTGACTTACAGGTTGAAAGGACCTGTATTCAGTTCCACGTGCCCCTGGTTCTCAATGTTCTGGAACTGGACACTGAACCAAGTAGTAAAACCATGGAGCATGCCATCACGCTTCACACAGAATGTAAAGGGACCGCTCAGTCTCTAAAAGAAGACGGAAATTGTCAGAACACATTCATAATACTGTAGATTATAGAAATAAGACTGAGGGGAATTTATCAAATGTGGAGCAGTTCACCTTGGCAACCAATCGGCTTCTATCTTTCGTTTTCAAAGCTTAACTGAATAAACTTGAGAGAGGCTGATTGGTCGGTTGCCATCGGCAACTGCTCCAGATTCTATCTGCTCCAGTTTTGATAAATTCCCCGCATTGTTTCTTATCAACAGCACTGCAGGCTCCTTGCCCCATTCATCATTACACCCTCTGACCATGCTCCAACTCCCTACTGTTTTGCATTCACAGGACTCCTAATGCAACTATCTACCTATGTATCCCTCTCCTTCCAATTCCCCTGTGTAGTTGCATTCTCCTTCTGAGCGGCTGTTTCATTTTTTGTTGTCATGCAGATTTTTGAGTGCCTGAGAACAAAAACAGGGCACAGTCCCCTAGAGATCAAACACAGTCCCAGCACACAATTCACAGTACCACTTCTTATTGTTGTGGTAAACTTTGTTAGAACAGCGTAGCTGAATCACCATTTCTGGCCTTCGTTTAGCATTGGCAGTCTCTTGTATATAATGTATTAATGTGCACAGGTGGCACATTTCATGTTGTAAGTCTGCAAGGTGGTGAGTGGAGTCCAGTGAAATTGTAGGCTTTCTGGGTGCACATCAGGGACGTGCGGTCAGGGGACGCAGGTGAGGCAGGAAAAAGCTGTCTGCTTCAAGTCTGAAGTGGACAGCTTTTTCTCCATTCAGATCGGCATCTAAGGTTACACAGCAGGGAAATCCTCCCCACTGTGTAACCTGTCATGGATGGAGCGCCTCAGCAGTGAGGGACATGGAGTCTGCTCCCTTCCTCCTTTACACTAGCTTGGGGTGTCCGGCAAAGCTGGGGAATGCCTCACCCGGAGTAAGAGGTACTGCACGTCACTGGTGCACATACTAACATACTGGTGATTGATGCAACATGTCTGTGCCGTCTTAAATGCTTCAGCACAAAGCAACAGGTGAACAACATGGTAGAGTCAGATGTCTGTCATCTTAACAGTAAAATCGTTTGCAGAGTGTCTATTGCAGCAACCCTCTAACAACACTGCAGCATTAATTCTTCATGTACACTATATGGGCCATATACAAGTTAACACCATTGTGACATTGAGCCCTTGTAATAATTAGGATTGGAGTCTAAGGAACAATGATGCTTACCTCCAGCTCTTCAATTTTCAGAGTCTTCATATCTACATCCAGCAAGACGCAGGGCTCAGACAGACAGTCCTCAGGGTTTAGAACATAGTCAGGTTTTGGTTTTGATAGGAACTCTTTTACAGCCATAGGCCTGCAATGAAGGAAGTACAATCTCATTATACCATAGATGACCCGTATATTTTTCCCGTTCTAGACTATTTACAAGCATTGCACATTCATTTCCGATTACAGCGGGCTGAAGTATATGTAAACTGCAGTTGTTTAGAACTCCTTTGCACAATTCCACTCCAGAACCTTGCAATGGAACATTCTGAAGGCGTGAGAGAAATCTAGTAATTGGACAAGATGGTGTCCTCGGACCTAAATATGTCTGTAATGGTGACTTCTGTCCCCAGTATTGTAGGAGGGCAGGTTTATTCTTCCCTTACCTTTGAAGAATGTCATAAGTCCAGAATCGTCTGCAGGGTCTTTAACCCTTTTGCTGTCACCAACGTATCTCATATGTAAAGATAACTGTGGGCTTTACACTGGAAGCGATTCTAGTGGCTAAGCTGCCACCAGATCGCTTCCAGGAGCTGGTGCAATGCGCTCCAATAGCTTATTTGGAGTGTAAGGTGACACTAGGGGTCTAATTGACCTCTAATGTCACCACCAGTATTCTAGGACATAGAGGGCCAGGCAGAGTATGGAAAGGACTCTACACTAAACCCAGTGTCCAAAGGTCACTTCCAAGCTATCCCTGGCAACATTCAATCCAGAGGGCTCCAGCCGTAGCAATTCAAAAGCCAGGCTGAGGATGGCCGTGCCGGATAGCTGCAATGGAGGAGACGAGCTCTAGCTGCAAAGCAGAGAAGTTGCGTACAGTCACACATACTTTAACACCTTGAAGTCCAGCCCATAGGCAGAGTCCCAGAAGAGAACTTTGGTGGCATATTCCTTCTCTGCACTGCACGGAACCATGTGAATAGATGCAGTACTTGGCCACATTATTCCACCTTCATCCAGCCACAGGTCACGAGCTAGAAGAACGGATTCCAACATGAATTCAAACTGCAGATTGAAAAGAAAACCTGAGATGGTCCGACACAAATAGCAAATGGAACACAGACTTTGTGATGACTAGAACAGATGTGTACTAATCAAAGGTGGACAAGGAGGTCAAACCAAGAAATCAGCTGGATCATTAAAAAAAAAAGTGCTGCAGTTTGTTTTTTTTAGATATATTAATATGTAAAACAATCAAAATGTTCAAAGAGTTTATTTTTAGAACTTAATGGACAGAGTACCCGATAATATGAGTCTTGATTTCCTGTAACATGGTTGCTTGTGTCCCACGTATGGGTTAGGAAAATATAAATTAATCGGATGCACTCTAAAAGGTGCCCATACACTCTACAACCCTCGCAAGACTTTTGTCTTGCGAGGGTTGTAAAGTACTTAAAAAAAACGTACGATCTGCCCATCTTGGACAGGCAGATCGTACTTGCGATCATTGCAAGCCCGCCCCCCTGAGGGGCGGGCTTCCGATGACTGCAATGCTGAACGGGCAGTGTGTGCGTGCGCACACCGGCCCATTCGGCAGTGATCTCTCGATCATGTTAAAAACCAGCCGAAAATCGTACGACTCTCGGCTGGTTTTCCAACGTGCTCGATATACAAAAGTAATGCGACCGTACATTAGAAATGGTCGCACGCCTTCCATACACTGCACGATTCTCGTACGATCGCGGGATTTCCCACGTTTCTTGTACGAGAATCGTGCAGTGTATGGGCACCTTAAGGGTAATTCCACTTTCTCAGGTGAATTTGGTAAAATAGAATTACCCCCATCAATCTGTCCTCTCTCCCTTCCCCCGACGCTTTTACCTGTGAACGAGCACTCCTTCCCCTCCGCTCGTAGGACCCGTACACCATATACAAGCACTATGTATTTCCATTCGCAAATGGCAAGCACTCATTGCTCAGCGTGGTCCATGCTGACCAATGAGAAGCGCTTCTTATTGGCCAGGTACTGGCCAATTAGTGCTCAGCCTTTGCACATGTAAATTAAAAATACATAGTGCAGGCCTGCGCTGCTGTGTACCGTGTATGAGTCGTACACCAGCCATGGAGGTGAAGAAGTGTTTGTTCGCAGGTAAGAACAGCAGGGGGAAGGAGAGGGAACAGATTGGTGGCGGTAATTCTATTTTACAGTGGAATTATCCTTTAACAATGAATTTCGGGCAACTGTCGATACACAGATGAAATACATATAAGAGTGCTGTTTTACTTGCCAAGAGATTTCATATTTCTGTCTATCCAGTTCTGAGATATTTACAGCTCTGACACGCAGCATAGGGCAAGTGACATGATTTTTCTCTGCTGCAGCAGAACTTACAGGTTTTGTTCCTCCCCCAACCAGTGACTAGACACAAAGGAAAAACGGCAGACTGACAAGTTATGCTAGAGGAAAACTTTGTGTGTCCCCAGCCCATAAACTTCTATGTGACACTACATATAATATTGTGGGGAAAGAAATTTACTTTATTTGAAGAAAAAAAACATATCCTGTCAGGTCATGAGATTAAAAATGTAAAATATTTAGAAATATTCCATCCACATCTCCTTAAACAGACCATATAACTAATGGAATAGAAGAGATAATATAATGAAGTAACATGTCAGTCTGAATAGTTCCTTGCTATAAATAACTAGTTCAAAACGTCCAATTAGGCCTCTGCTGTTACACTGAATCTAGACCACTAGTAATAGTTTTATACTTTAACCCTTTCGCTGCCAAGCCCTCCGGAACATTTTTCAATTCAGCTGGCCACGCCATTTTTCCCATTGATTTCATTTTCAACTGCTGCGTTGCTAGCGTTTGTAAAAGACCCCCCAAACCATATATTTTCTGAAAGCGCAGGCCCGGTAGAATAAAAAGATGGTGATACTAAATTTGTAGGCCGTGCGATAATTGCGCAAATGTTTCTCAAATTAATATTAAACCGATAAAAATACACAATTCAATTGATAAAACACACTAAAATCAGTATCAGCGCACAAAAAAAAATTTTTTTTGACTAAATCTAAAAGATAAAACTGTATCGAGTTAATAAATAACAAATATTTGCAAATTTAAAATTGCGTCTTTTTGCGAAAAGGTAAAAAAAATGAAGGCACGCAAAGCTGTAAATAAGCGACTTATGTTAAAAATTGTTTTTACGCTTTGTTGGTGTTTGTGTTGTAAGCCTGTATAATTTTATCACAACACAAGGTATCACAACGCACGGCAATGCACCACAAAGCTTTGCCATGCGCTGCCACAGTTAATGTTTTTTTTTAAAGAAAATAAATAAAACAAATCATGCACTGCAATGTGTTCTAACAACGCACTGCAGCTCATGTGCATGGCATACACCGCAATATGTGTATGTTATGTGGGGGGAAGGAGGAGATGTGCTTTTTTTTTATTAGTTTTTTTTTTTACACTTTTTAATTTATTTTTTAATAATTGTGTTTGTTTTGTTTTACTGTTGGGGGGCTACGGTGAAATCTCTGGGGTCTAAACAGACCCCTGGCATTTCCCTTTTGCAATAGAAAAAGAAATTGAGGACACAGGGTCCTCAATTTCTTTTTCTGCGGCCTCAGCACTCAATGAATGGGAAGCACTCAGTACAGAGGCTTCCCATTCCATTCAGAAACTGCTGATAGTAAAATATTTACT